AGAGGCAAAGGGATTGGGAGGCACGGTTAAGCTTTCTCCTCCTTCCAACATCTGAACCACGGCTTTCATTGAAGGGCGATCCACTGGATGCCATTGGATGCACCAGAGCCCTACAATTGCGAGTTTCTTTGGAATTTTACGTTCTCCTCCTTCACCGATATGGATGCGTAGATCATCTCCTTCTTCTAGAAGATTATAAATCCATTGGGGATAGTAGATTTCATTTGTGTTCTCCGTGGCTGAATCGACATTCTTCCTTCCTCCTACCATCTCAAGCAGTAGCATTCCGAAACTATACACATCTGACTTATAGGACACATTTCCAAAGTTCCTGGAGAACACTTCAGGTGCAATGTAGCCCATGGTGCCTCTAGCTGTAGTCATTGACACTATGCTTTGATCCTTGGAACATAACTTGGCTAAACCAAAATCAGAAATCTTTGGAGTGAAGTTGTGGTCTAGCAAAACATTATGAGGTTTGATGTCAAAATGGAGGATTCGCTGATCGCATCCTTGGTGAAGATATTCAATTCCTTTGGCTATGGCTAGAGCAATATCTTGCATCTTATCCCAACCAAGGAAACTGTTCTTATTGTCTGGTGATGAAATGAAATCCTGCAGTGAACCATTTGGTGAGAACTCATAAACAAGAGCTCGTCTAAATCCATCAGCGCAAAAGCCAACCAATCGAACGACATTGACATGGTGGATATGACCCATTGTTCCCACTTCATTGATGAACTCTTCCCCATCTCCCTTAGAACTATTGAGGACTTTCACAGCAACGAAGAGTTCAGAAGAAAGCATTCCTTTATAAACAGTTCCGTAGGCTCCTTCCCCTAACTTGTCCTTGAAGTCATTTGTAATCCTCTTAATATCTGCATATGAATATCTGCTAGGTTTCAGAGCTCTGTAATCGTCTAAAAATCTTTCAATCTTTAATTGATTTGCCTTTTCTTTTCTATCAGAACTATAGACACGATAGGCTGCAACGACTAGGAGTAACACAACGAATGAACCCAGAGATGCACCTGCAAGTTAACCTTTGTAAATATCACCACGATCTCATATATACAGATGAAACAAACTGCAACTCCAATTAAACAACTCACCTGTAGCCACCCATTTCCTTTTCGTACCTGAAAAAAAAAATACACTATCAAATAAGTAATTAGAATGAGCAATTGCTTGGAAAATATCCTTTAAATAAACAGTGCTGCTACTTTGCTCTAAACTTCCAAATAAGTAAGCAAAACGTGGATTGCAGATGATAATATCTCATTACATGAATGCATTGTATTATTTGCATCTGCAGATAAGTGACCAGTATAGCAGAATATTAAGAATCTGTAACAATTCAAATATATGTGACCCAATTAAATATATGTTAGCCAAGTTAACCTCGGGGACGTTTTGTGATAAAAAGAAAAAAACACAAGGATACAACTTGATAGATTCATCAACCTCAGGGACGTTTTGTGATAAAAAGCCAATATATAATGCTGCTACTCTGCTCTCAACTTCCAAATAAGTAAGTAAGCAAAAAGTGACTAGTATAGCAGAATATTAAGAATCTGTAATAAGTTAAATATATGTGAATCCCAAACTAAAATTTATGTTAGCCATACCTGCTTGACTGAAGTCCACACATTCAATTTCACTTTTGGTGCCATTGTTCTTCAATCTACACTTCTTGCCCTTTGCCTCACACTGTCCACAATTTGGTTCAGACCACTCCAAATAAAGATTGTCAGGGTCGTTTGAATAATATGGAACTGATGACCGATTATACATCTTTGTACAAGACAGTAGGGGCAAGACCTCAATGCTGTAGGAAGAAGGAACAGAATAAACTTGGTAGCCAGGGCCATTGAAGCAGGGGACTCGTTCTTGTAATTGCCTCTCAGCTAAAGAGCAATTGAATAAGGTAAGATCAGTCATGTGATCTTTTGAGAAGTGGAAGGGAGAGATTGACTTGTTGAAGACTTTCAAAAGCTTCACCAGAAGACATCTTTCTGGGTCATATAACTGGATTGCCTGAGCCTTATAATCTATGCTTTTAACTGGGAATTTGAATGGAATTGGAAGCTCAAGAATTGTTTCATGCTTCTCATTGCATGACAGGACAAACCCAGGAAAGACACAGTGATCTGGGTGCCTGCCTTTGAGGCTGAAAGGGAAATGGACAGCTGGGCCTTTATCGCCACACTTCAATTTTTTGCAGGTATCTTGGGGTTCTCCATGCACTGTGGAGAAAGCCAGAAAGATTAAGCACAAGAAAGAGGTGATAATTTTTACCATATCTAACTAAATCTTTCTGTGCTGCAGAAAAAGAAAATGGTATCTAAATCTTTCTGTGACTCATATGTCCAATAAGATGTCCTCTCATTATTTAATTAACCCAATCATGTTTGGGATCTTACCAGGAAAAGAAGAAGAAAAAAAACATACATTGTTTGCGATGAAAAGACTCTAAAAGTCAACAGTTGACTTAGAGGTCCCACGACATGTGACATTCTTGACTGAATCAAATGTTGCATTTCTTTAATCATTTGTTTACTTTGTCTACGTTGACCATTATTATAATTATTTTATCATGGAACGAAGAATGCAGCGAAACTTCCAATGCTGCTGTTTGAAATGAGTCAGCAAGTACAAAACTAAAGATAACATAGTCACGCACGACTCACAATATAATCTCGCTTCACCCTTTGTTCTCACACGGCACCAACTGTACAAGGGGATGACTTGCATTATTCTATTGCGGTTGGCTGGTACTGAATATCAATTTGCATTACATGGTGGTACGTACCTTGTTTATGTTTCATCAATATTGTTACAATCAACAAAATATTAACATTTTATCGACAAAATAGAGTAGAGAGTAACTATGTACTTACTAGGTATTGTAGATGGGTAATAATGGGTAGCAAACACTCTTTTTCGTTTTAGTAAATGCTAGGTACGGTTGGAAACCCTAGCATCATTGAACTCATAACTAATTAAGCAACATTACCACACTTTACCACTGGACTTAATATTCATTACTTTTATTATCTTATGGCATCGATTCCTGGATTTTTTTTTTTATTATTATTTTTGTGTGTGTGTGTGTGTGGGTATTTTCAATATTAAATCATATGAGGGTCTCAATTTTAGTTTTGTACAAGGCCTTCAAAATCCTAAAGCCAACCCTATTCCAAGCTCTAGTTGTTTTGCACGCATCTTGGTTTGTTTGCACCAAGGTATAAGATACTTTTGTGCATTACCTCAAGAGAGCATGGCTTCGTTGCTTCAATCTACAATAGGAATTCACATTAAATGCGAACAAAAGAGTCGGTATAACAATCAAAATTGCGCAAAAAACTTGTATTTTAAGAAGGTAAAAACAAGCGAATTTACATTCATATGCAAGTGAGATCACTCACATCTTAGGAAAATCCATCTGTTATTTCAAATGATAAATAAAGTGTAGTAGGAAAGTGTCACATGAAATTGACAATAAGCTAATGGAGCTATGATGCTAGTTTCATTTTCATCCCAAGAGGCATCTTAAATGATTTATGAAGTTGTCAAAGTAGACTAAACCCAATCATGTGATATCCTTGACTCACCTACCCAATAACAACATGATTAAATTTACATTATCTTTTCTGGATATTTTTTAAGTTTTTTTCAAAAAGGACGGCATCTTATTTTCTTGGAACTTCAAGACACCAGCTATCGGTTTTAATATTCTTGCCCCTGTTGTGTTTTGGCTGTGTTGCTGTTTTATTTGGGCTGTTTGTTTGGCTGTTATCTTTGGTTTGTAAATTGTCTCATTTCCCTTTCAATGAAAGTGTGTTTCGACCAAAAAAAAACATCAGCTATAACTCAAACTTTTGTTTTACCCAATAGACCTCAACACATTTTATTTTAATTATGCTAATTTATTGCCAGTCTCTTTTTTTTTTAATGCATTTATTTATGATATTGGGAATAAATTGTCAACGTGTTCTAGCATTAGACTTGTTGTCTTATATTCTAACTTGTTGTCTTATATTCTAACGTGTTCTAGCATTAGGTTTGTGTGCACGCCCAAACCAGAATGATGTGAGCCATTTTAAAATTTACCTTCACCAGTTGCTTCTGTTTTTCATCAAAGACTCTCCGACGGTCAACTCAATTGAAATTGTGCCTATTAATTGACCTTCCTGATGAAATCTTTCTAATGGAAAAGGCCAAAGGCCATGGAAGCTAGAGAACTGCAAAACGAGGAATCAAAAAACAAAGTTCAATCTTTCCCCCTATTTCATTATAATAAATAAATAAAAGGTTCAATGGTTGTCTTTCTAGGCATTTTAGAAAGTAGTCGCTGATGATTCAACATCCCAACCCCACCAACCTCTCGAAATTAAGCTCTCACTCAACTGGGGTTGCGGGGGAGGGCCCAAATTTTTTAAACTCTCGTATGTTATCTTTCCATCTCCGACGCAAGATACTCTCTAAATACTAGAAGAACAATATTTCCGCATGACACATTATTTGGGGAACTTCGAAACTTCAAAGATCACATGATGAAGCAAGCAGGACAACGGCAATTTTATGGAAGCTGGTGAAGGACTGTCATGTTAAAACTTGAAGCAAGATTCTTACGCAATAGTTTATGCGCACAAGTGATGCATAATATTGGATTTGGCAGCCAGTAATTTGTGTGGCAGGAATAGGTCCACTGTTAGGTGTGAATTTAATAGATGGGTCCAATAGAATTTAATAGATGGGTCCAATGGAATGGAGGATATTGAAAACTGTAAGACGCGGAATGAAAATAGCCAAACACCTGTCCGTTGACTGACTTTCTGACATCAATAATACCAATTTGAGCGGACGGTACAGACCTTGATAGATATCTCCAGAATATGCGTGTGGGCTTAGCATTACCTGCCCGTTGACGGACTTTCTGACCAAGGTTTACAATGGCATTACCTGCCCGTGGACGGTACAAAACTGATAGATATCTCCAGAACTTGTAAACCTCTCTCTCTCTCTCTCTCTCTATGGGAAGTGGAACAAGGCCCTTTACCTTGTCTTCATGGGTCTTAGTTGCAGCCTTCTTAGGTATTAACTTATTATCCAGTGAAATTTGTAGCGCTAAAGATATCTACAGGTGTGCTCCTTCTTCCTGCGGCAACATCCACAACATAAGCTACCCTTTTCGACTAAACCGTGACCCAGAATACTGCGGGGACTCGAGGTATACGTTGCACTGCGACAACAACGTTACGGTATTGCACCTACATTCTGGAAAATACTTGGTGCTGGACCTCAACTACGATTCCACATATATCCGAGTCGTAGATCCTGGCCTTGAAAAGAACAATTGCAATTCCATTCCTCGTTATCCTTTAGCCTACTCTAACTTCAGTCTGGGGGAACTGTATTATCCGTTAAGTCAGTCTGTAGCTTTTTTCAAGTGTGCAAATCCAGTGAATTCATCGCTCAACGTAGTGATTGCTCCATGCATTAATAATCTGAGTAGGACAGGTTATGTCAACATTCACGATACAAAGACGTCGGATCTGGAGGATGGGTGCAGTATAGAGTGGACGACTATGGCGAGTGAATCCTTGGACGACCAAAATTACCAAAACGTTTCTCACAGATACATAAACATACACAACGCTTTGACGGACGGCTTTTTGCTTTATTATCGTAGCTCAGGTGTTGCCTTTGTTGAATGTGGCCCACACCAATGGATCCCACTTGGTTCCAAGTGTAAGCCAGGTACGTCTTTATTTGTAGTCATATATATATGTATATACATATCGCAAGCTTCAATTAAGGGATTCTTAAAAAGGAATACCCTTACCCATAAATACATTTTATGGGTCCACACTCTGTATTGTATTTTAAAAATTGAAACAGTCTATTTTTTATATATGCCTGCAAAAAATCACTTGAATCTGAAACCATTAGACCACTCAATTAATGATTGTCATTTTTCTTAAAGCACTATGTTTGTTTATAAATGACAAACTAAATTTTATCATGGTACATAAATGTGATTTTTCTAGTATTATATGTATATATTACGGTTGTTATGTGGCAAAGTTACAACTCTGCTAGTTTTGTTTTTCTTTGTTATTGTAGGTAGCTTTGTTTTGGATCTGTTGAAGCTGATTTACGGTAAATGATCTTTCTTAAAGTGTTTTGTTTTTGTTTTTGTTTTTGTTTTAAAAAAAAAGGGTGCAAAGTCTTTTGTTTTTGTCTTTGTTAACTTTTATTGTATTTTGCAGATTATGAGGCGCAATTCTTTAGCTCAGGTAACAGCTTCTATTTCTTTAATTATTCAACACTGTATTTTATTTTATTTTTACTTTATTCTTTTTCCAAACATATAGTCAAAAGTCTTTGATTGATTTTGTCGACTTTTGTCTTATTGCTTGCAGGTGATCCATGGCGAGGAATTACGCTACTAATAACCATTATCTTCGGTAAGAGCGTGTTTTAGCAATTCAATTTCACTTTTTACACTCCTTTACCACTCACACATGAAGAGCCCATGAGGTAATTTGCGAGTAATTATAGAATGCCAAAATCATCATCCTAAATTGATTAGGAAAAATGAAGATGATGAATTGCACAATAATTTACATAGCTATTTGATAGAAATAAGAGCATTTCCAGCAGTTTGCTCCTTACCCTGGCGAGGGGAGCCCCAGGGAGCTACTATTCACGTGAATAGTGGCCGCCCTAGCCCCCCAGTAAAGTGTGTTTCCAGCAGTTGCCCTTGCCATGGCAAATACTATTTATTTTTTTGTTTTTTTCACAACTTTTTTTACTTAAACAATTAATTTGGATAATATTTTCGGATAAGATTTTTGGGTTCCTATGTGTCAATACTATTCATATCGGATAATATTTTCGGATAAGATTTTATTTTATTAGTTGTATGGTTGGTATTTATAGAAGAAAAAAAAAAGTATGAGGATTTGATGTTAAAAGTGAAGAGTATTGGTTGGTATTTATAAACACTGGCGGACCTAGAATTTTTTTAGCAGAGGTGCAATATTGACTAAGTATGAAAAATTGTTTTTCGGAATAATCATTTTCTCAAGATAATTTTTGGCGGCTTTTATTCCTTACACATCAAGTAAGAAAACTTGATTTTATGGGATTTTAATATGAAGTATATATTGACTTAATGAGCTATCATTTTTAGCCTAAATCGTATTTTGCACTAAAACTGATTTTTCATATTTTGATTTGGTGGGAATTTGATTTTCTAGTATTTTTATTTGAATCCAAATGGGGGTACTTCTTTATTTACATTGTAAACTTAAGTAAATGTCTTTGTCCTTTTACTTTCATTTATTTTTATATTACTCCATTTACTTAAATGTTGAAAATGGAAATAAAGTATAGAGAAAAAAAATCTGTAATTTTTTTGGTATTTTTTTAAATTTTTTTCCATTTATTTTATTGTACAAAAATTGGCTACCGTTGGATTGCTAGAAAAAATCTGATCGGAGAGCCCAACGCGCGCCATGTGGACGATTAAAAAAAATTTAGACGCAGGGCTGAAGTCGACGTGACGTCAACCTTACCCTCGGGCCAGCCCAATTCGCTGGGTCCCACTCCTTGTCCGGGCCACTTTTTGTTGCTGGAAACAGCATTTTGGGCTTGCCTCCCCCCCAGCCCTCCCCCTGGTCCCCTTGCTGGAAATGCTCTAAGGGGTGTGATAAAGTGTAAAAAGAATGCATCAGAAAGCTAGTCAGTTTCTGTAATTTTCTCATCAATTTTTTTTTTTGGTAATGCTCTTGTGCAGTACTACATCTCATGGTAAAATTTATACTGGCTCCATTTGTGATTGCGTTTTTGATCTATACATGGCGGAAAAGACATTCGTCAATGTATAGCACGATCGAAAATTTTCTGCATGATGATAACAATTTTCCGCCGATAAGGTACTCTTACTTGGACATTAAAAAGATGTCTAACGAATTCAAGAATAAGTTAGGTGAAGGAGGCTTTGGCATGGTATTTAAAGGAAAATTACGCAGCGGCCATTTTGGAGCAATTAAGATGTTGAGCAAGTCCAAAGCTAATGGGGAAGATTTCATTAGTGAGGTAGCTACCATTGGAAGGATTCACCATGTTAATGTGGTGCAACTTGTTGGTTATTGTGTTGAGGGTTCAAAGCGTGCTTTAGTATATGAGTTCATGCAAAATGGATCTCTTGATAAATACATTTATTCCAAAGAAGGGAATAACTTGCTAAGTTACAAGAAAATGTATGATATTTCACTTGGAGTAGCTCGAGGGATTGAATATCTACATCAAGGTTGTGACATGCAAATTTTACATTTTGATATCAAGCCTCATAACATCCTTCTTGACGAAAATTTTGTTCCAAAGATTTCTGACTTTGGGCTTGCGAAATTATATCCTACAGTTAACAGTATTGTCTTGTTAACGGCAGCAAGGGGAACAATGGGTTACATGGCTCCTGAGTTGTTCTACAAAAATATTGGTGGCGTCTCACACAAAGCTGATGTCTACAGCTTTGGAATGCTGTTGATGGAAATGGGAAGCAAACGAAAGAATTTAAATGCACGTGCAGAGCATTCAAGCCAAATTTACTTCCCGTCATGGGTGTACGATCAGTATAAGGAGGGAAAGGAGCTGGAGATGGAGGATATAACAGAGGAAGAAAAGAAAATAGTAAAAAAGATGGTTATAACTGCCTTGTGGTGTATTCAAATGAAGCCAAGTGATCGTCCGGCAATGAACGAAGTTATAAAGATGCTCGAAGGAGATGTTGAAAGCCTACGAATGCCTCCTAAGCCTTTTCTGTGCCCTCAAGAGATGTCTGTAGATATTCATGATAATTTGAACCATACATGTTCTAACATGGAGGTGACGTGTACTCTGTCACCTAGGTCATGATGAGGTAGCAACTCTTGTAATTTTATTCAAACACTCCAGTACTTGTGTAGCGTCTCTCTGCTTGTTTTCCGGGTTCTGATGTTGGCTTTTCATGTGGGTGTCTAAGAGTAGGGTTCGGCATATTTCTGCATTTTAGTTTGGGTACTCTGTCTGGTTTCAGTTTCTGCATTTTAGCATGTTCTTACAGTTTCTCATTTATGGATAAATAAAAAAACTCTCGCTGTGTTCATGTATCAATAAAAAAAAACCTTTCAAATCCCAAAATTGCCCGAGTAATCTAACAGTTTTAACCCTATACTTACGAGAATCAGGAGTCTTTGTCTCCAGGTTCGTGAGGTTTCCTGGAGGTGGATTCCCAGGAGGGTAAACATTGTAGCTGATGGGTGGGCAGCTCGTGGAAAAAGGAGGATGTCTAAAGAGGTCTGGATTGATAGGCCACCATCCTCCTTGGTTTTTGTCTTAAAAATGATGGCCTCCCATGTCCTCTTCTTAATGAAAGCCCACTTTGATTATAAAAAAAAAATTCTAACTGTATATGTTGTTTGACAATTACTGTAGAAAATTCTAATATACATATACATTTTACTACTACATTTTAGGCCTTCCGCGACGAAGGCAAGTTCGTCACGCAAAGTTAACTTTAGTCGCACATAATTCTACGTAACAGAAGTTTTGTCGCGCACATTCCGTCGTGCAAAAATCGTGAAGAAAGACTTTGCGCGACCAATTTATTTCCTTCGTCGCGTGATGAGTTGAATTTATATTATATATTTAACCTTATTCTTAGTATATTTTGATTAATATTTTGAAAGAATTTTGATACTTTGAATTATATTTCAAATATAGGACTTCCAACTTCCTCTGGAGCAAAACATAATCAAATGGACGAATTTTGGAGTAATTCCAATTGGAGGACGTACGTGAGTCACTTGGCTTGATCGTATCGAAATATCAGACTTTTCCACCAAGCGACGATTTTCTGGCGAAAAAATGAAGGAGCGATGTGCAGTGCTGGAATAGTGACGTTTTGGGCTTTTATTGCGTTTTTGGAGCCCAAGATGACCTCAGATGGGTTCGTGGCCTTTTGGAGAAGTGTTCGAAATATTTTTATCTTTAAAAAGAGCTATCTTGGGCCAGATTTTGAGGAGATTTGAGGCCAAAACGCGGCTGACCAGTTTGTTGGCAGATTCTCCTAATCCAATTTGGACTTTATTTCCTAGTCTTATTTTATTTCAACTTAGTTTCCTTGTGGGGATTGGGTAGCTAGGTTTTAGGAGGTATTTAAGCTCCTTTTCACAGCAATTTAGAGGGCTCCCTTTTGACTTCTTTTTGGCTTTTGGAGCAATTGCTAGGGTTTTGGATTTTCGTGACTTTCAGGTTTTTTCATTCTTATTCTTCTTAATGATATTTTCTTGGATTTCAATTATGAGTATGCGTAACTAAATCTCTTTTGCTAGGGTGAAGCCTTGAGCCTTAGCATGAATATGTGATTTTTATTTAATTGCTTATGATTTAGTGCATGCATGCTTTGAATTGTTAATCACTGTTTTAAACTATCTGATTGTCTTAATGCCTGATCACAATTAGGACCTTTAGAAAAGTAATTAGATGCAATTTTGGTCAGAAGGTTCCCTGAAATTGATGCTAGCTTCTTGTGATTAATAATTGTAAGTTCACTTAAGGCTAACATCACGCTCTTAAGGGTTGCATGGTTTTTCAAAGGGTTTTCACAAAACTTAATGAGTCTTTCATGTTCAGATTTGATCCGAACGTCCGGACGGGTTGCATGTTAGATATACGTTCTATGTTGGAGGTTCCAAGTAGAATATAAATTAGAAAAACCTAACCTTCAAAGTGGCATGTGCAAATCATAAGTAATTAGTAAAAATTCATAGGATTGCTAGGTGATGATGGAACCCTAGTGCTTTTATAAATTGATATTCAAAACTTCTTCCTTCAATTGTATTTGTTTTTGTTTAATATTTGTTTTTAGAATCAACCAACTTCATATTCATATTTCTCTACTTTTAATTTTAGGTAGTTAATTAGAAATTGTTTTCACATAAATTGCTAAATAGTCATTGTGGAAAACGATCTTGCATGAGCATCTATACTACAATAGCCTTGTATTCTTGCAAGTATTTTATGTGGTTTTAACCCTGTTTGCGCAAGTACTAAAAATCCTATCATCGCTCAAAAAAGTGCGACGTAGAACCTTCGTTACAAAAAACGTTTCGGGAAGACACAAATGTCCGACGCACAAACGTTTGCGTGAGGAAAGTGTTTTCGACACACCAACATTGCGCGATGGACATTTTCGTCGCTCGAGATTCGTGTCCAAGACATTAGCGCGACGGAAAGTCATTCGTCGCGCAATTACTATTTGCGCGACGAATTCGTTCTTCGTCGCGCAATTACTATTTGCGTGACGAAAATTCCTTCGTCGCGCATACACATTTCGCGCGACGAAAGACTTCGTCACGCATGATTAAATGAAGTGTATTTAAAATTATTTTTTAACGTTTTAAAAAAAAAAGTGATTTTGTGCGACGAGATACGTTTCGTTGCGCGAAATTAATATATATTATATAAATTTAATATTTTTTTTAATTAATTATTATTTTTTAATTAAAATAAAATTGCAATAAAAAGATTAATCGTAAAGAAAACATTTATTATATAAAAGAAAATAAATGTATACTAGAGAAATATTTTTAAAATAATTATGAAAATAAAAAACTAATCAAATAATGTTCCAAAATCTACATGATCGTCTGTCACATGCGGCTCGGAGGTTTGGGCGTCTACAGGGGCCGTGGCCTGGGGGGGATGCTCGGGGGGGATGGGCTCGGAGGGCGGCGCCAGGAAAC